AAGGTAGAGGCAGAGGAAATTATAGCTTAAAATAAGGTTAAGTAGTAGCTTAAGGGGGAAACGCGTTAAGGTAGAGCATAATTAGGTACTAGTTAGTAGGCTTCCGCGCGCTATAGGCGCTGTAGGGAGACTAGCCATAACTTACGAATATGTAAGAAGGATACTAGAGATATAGCTTAATCTAGCATAATGTATATATTCTATTATTTTATCTTATTATTAAGATAGATTCCTATGAAGTGGTGAAAAGTTGGTAGGGTGCGCCGCTCGCTTGCCTACACCGCTCACTTACCAGGTACGTTAGTTCTTATAAAGATGAGTGGCTTTAATTTAGATATAAAAGTAAGCTTTTGAAGTTAACTATGGAGAATAGGAAACGTTTAGAGAATGTCCTTAACTAAATACTAGTCGTCCCATCCTTCACTGTCTTCCGATTCTTCATCGAGGTCCCGCCAAGTCCTTGCTTCTGCCGGGTCTCGTCACGTGATGTCGGTGTTCGCTCGTTCCGAGCGGCGTCGCTGTCGTTGGTTCTTTGTCCTTTACCAGTCGTATTCATCGTTGCGCCATCCTTTGTCAGTTCCCTGTCGTGCTCCTTTGTGATCGTAACATGTCCTACACTTTATACTATTCTCGTATTCCTTCGTCGTCCTGGTAAGCTCTCTCGCTAGAGCTACCTTGGCGGGAGCAACCTTCTCTGCTCCCGTCGCATAGCTTTGCTCCCGGGACCTGGTTGTCTTGGCGGGAGCATGGTGACGTGACGTCGGGGTTTGATGACTCCGATAGGCGCTGACCGCCCACCTGCCTTTGTCCTCAGCACAATCGCTTGCGGTCGGTGCGTCATCCTCTGCATTGTCCCTGCAGTCTCCTCGTGTGATTGTAACAGTCAGGTAGCGTACTATCGTTGACAGTACGATTGAGCTGTTAGGTTGCCTAGGAGGCTACCGTGACACGGGTCGGCCATCCTCTTAGCTGGTGGTGGCACAGTTTGGTGCTTCGCCACCGTAGAAGCATGACTAACTGGTACGAAATGTGCTTACTACGCCCCCACCTGTTGTCTATTCGTCAGAGTCTATAGCCGGGAGATTCTCTCATATTTATTTCCAACACCTGCCAACCCTCCCTTTCCGGTGAGATCTTTGACCGGTAATCCCAAAATCAAGGAACAATGCGTCACGCTGCGTCAAAGATAACTTCACCGGTTTACTCACATTTACGTACTTCTTTCCTATTGGTGAATGAGTCCAGCTCAAATAAAGAAAAAGTGGAGCTACTTAACATAGGATACATATATATCCTCTGTAGGCCTTAACAAGACGTTGAAAGCCGTGCATTATCATTCAAATTTTTCAACGAGCATCTAAAGTCGCGTATATGAAACCGAACCGGTTGTTTGCCATGCAGCGCAAACCTACGTATTCGAGACTGACGAAGAAATGCGAATTCAGACTTTTAATACTCCACCCTGGCGAGGACGAGCAAGATATACAATGTGAGCTCGCACATTCTTTGCTTCACAAACGTCCGCAATTCGATGCTCTTTCATACGAATGGGGAGCACAGCCTGGATCTACCGAGATATCATGCAACGCTCAACTTACGTTTGTAACGAATAATCTCCACGCTGCTCTTCAATCCCTTCGCCTACCTGATAAGCAACGGGTATTGTGGGTAGATGCGTTGTGTATTAACCAAGCCGATAAAGAAGAAAAGAGCCATCAGATTGCCATGATGCAACAAATTTACAGTTCAGCAACCAGAGTTTTGATATGGCTTGGGAAAGAGACACAACTTGTTCGAGCGGCTTTCGAAATAATGAAACCTTTGGCCCTGTTATGGCTCGATCGTGCGACGAAGGGGGTGGACGAAATGAATTACCTTGCCGCCCGAATCTTCCAACGACCAAAGAACAAATCAATACTTGGAACTATTACAGACTGCTTTCACTTCTCTTATGATCTCAAACTGTATGACCTGCAAAGGAAGATTGAATGCTCTGATGATGAAATCTTCAAGTTTTGCGACGCAGACATCTGGCAAACTATTGACAATATCTTCCAAAACACCTACTTCCAAAGATGTTGGATCGTTCAAGAAGTGGCGGTTGCTGATGTCCCTTACGTTGTGTATGGAAATCTCCATATGCCTTGGGAGGTATTTCGCAACGCGCATTATGGAAGACGACTGATCGCATTTGTTGGACAAAAGTCATACGAAGACGGCCCTTTGACCTGTGTTGAGGATGCACGGAAGCGCTTTAGGAATCCAATGACTAGTACGGATCTAGCCAGTGCACTTGCAACCTTCACATATGCCCACCAGAGCTGCGAGCAAGATCATGTGTACGCTGCACTTGGTTTAGTCAAAACCGGGAGCATAATCAGTCCTGACTATACGAAAACACCCCAACAGGTTTTCCTGGAGGCAGCAACATGCATTATCAGGGACAGAAAGGATCTGTATCTGTTAGGGAACAAGACTCTGTTTGCGAAAAGAACGATGCCTGACATCCCTACCTGGGTTCCGGAATGGACAGGGCCAACGACAGAGAGCTCGACAGAACACTACAGCCACAATTTAAGCCAGTGTATCGACGGGAAAATTGAGATTCAAGATCGAAGTTTGTTCGTCAACGCGCTCCTTCTTGATTCCATCGAGCGAGTCTACCCGATTGCAGATGATGAGATGATTCTTCAAGCATTCTCAGGCATCAAAGAAGAGTTTGAAAAGGCAGATATAAGCCTTTTTGATGCTTATGTGGCAGATAATCGGCGCGGTTCGGCATCTGCTAGTCCAAAATGCTCAATAGATTCATGGATCGACAACCTAGGGCAGGTATTCGCGTTGATAACAAGGTTACCTCGTGTACCACAACTACTCCTGGAGATTTTTCGGGACTTCGGTCGATTCACCCCACATGAATTGGATGGCACAACACTCAACATAGAATCGCTTTGGTCAGCAATGGTACCACAATCTTCTTTACGGCCTCGGACTGAGGCGCCTATCTGCGAGAAGTTATTCCTTGCGGTACAGGTTATCTTCTCTCTGACAAATACTAGCAGGACAGGGGTCATGCATACCAAAGGGCTACCGAAAGGGTATGGGCCATGGATGTTAGCAGCCACCCTAATCGCTCACACTGAAATCTCCTTAACCCCTGCATTTCGAGAGATATATAGCAAGCACGCCCTTCGCTCAAACACAGAGGACGAGTGTATCTTCATCACAAGCTCAGGATACCTTGGAAGAGCACCATATCCTGCAATCTCGAAGGGTCAAATCATTACTATACTGGGAGGTGGCTATGTCCCATATGTACTAGAAAGACACGACAATCACTATAAACTTATAAGTCATGCATACGTGGAAGGAGTTATGCATTTGCAGCGCATACCTGATGACATGACTATGGAACGTTTGGAGATCCGGTGATAGAGCGACAATGGAGATAAGCTGATAATAAGGCACTGTCATACTTTAAAGTGTTTTTATCTACATAAGTGAACTTAGTACTGTATAGTGTATGTATGCTGGGGAGTTGTTCATCCTACCTGTTACTTATTTGCAAGCACCTTAGTAAGACATGTATGGCTAATTTTCGCACATGATCGCGATAGTGCTTCGCCTGCGGCAACTACCGGTAACAAAGGGCTAGTCGCCCAGCCCTCGCGCTCTGTCGCCACCATACCAGACCGAGCCCAACGACCGAGAGACAACTAATGTTGCCCTCGATGCATTGCTGCCGGAAGCGCTGCAGAAGGTTTGTGGCATCAGGTATTGGTCTAATTTAGGCGTTGCCAGACATGCTCGCGCGCGCGTTTGCCGTCCCTCGTCCAGCTACCTCGGACGGGCTCGCTCGGCGTCCTCATCATGTCGCAGATTGCCAGCGACGTCGTGACTTGCTTGCAGCCGCGCCACAGAAAGGCCATAGAGAAAGGCATCGGTCTCCTATAAGCACGTCAAGGGAGTCGAATTCTGCTCATGTCGATCCAAAGCGTTTACGTAAATATAATTCAGAACCCTAATATGGTGACAGCATCAGCCGATAGGTGTGTATATAAATTCACCCAAAGATTGTTACCCCGCTCGTCACAATGTTCGCTAACGTGGAACTCCATAAATGTAATTCGTTGACATGGATTTAGCTTAGTCAGTTAGCATTTTCCGGGTGGTGCAAATCATTAGCTGAGCCAGTAAGACAATAATGACGACCCTACACAAGACGCTTATTGCGAGCGTAAGCGATCTAACTTATGACCTATGGAATTCCTCACGGATGGAAATCCAGGGACTTGGATATCCACGCTGCAGTTAGCGTATGTGCGGGTGGACAACCTAACAGGTAGTTATAATAGAAGCCTGGAGTCGTGCTATCCTTGACAAAGCACGTTCGGTAGTCACGCTCTCGGGACGACTCGTGGACATTGTGAGGGCAAGCAAAGGAGCGCACAAGGCGGCCGGGGCTTTGGAAACCTCTGAGAGAAACTCGGAGAAGGGTGACGCCCGGTATCGCAGCCATCTGTTATTCTCCTCCGTCCTCTCGTGTTTGATGATGACGTCGAGGATTTTGACCACTTTACACGACCAATGGTAGGAAGCCACGAAGCTAGTAGTTCTTTGCTAAGAAGCCCTATATTCCTATATCAACCCGGAACCAGCATATGTCTGCTCAATATGGCTTATTTTGTTCGTTTCAGTTTTTCAATGTGTTCTTCAACTATTCAACGATCGATTGCGAAATTAACAGTGCCTGATCTTACCTGCTCATACGGACGTTTAGCGGTCGTCTGAATATCTCATTGCAACGACTAAGTAGTATGATTACGCGGGCATAATGTCTTTCATCTTCACCGTACGATCCTATTGCTTAGGTGCCAAAGTCACCGTAGCGTTACGTTACGGTTCTCGTTCATTTGGTTCTGTGGGATGATAATTACTTGCGCATAGTCTGGCATTACAGTTCCCGCCAGCATATTGGAGGGTTTCAATTGCCCATATGCATTATACTGGATACGCAAGGTAGCTGCCTAGACCCAAAAAGCATTTCGATATCATCTTCTCTCTCCTCACAGGTTCATTTCTTGCAACAGCGCCGTTGTTAATCTGCCAACCGCCCTCGAACCATGTCACGCATCGTCAAATCCACTTATGCTAATCTGTCATCCGAAGACGATGCTTGGTTGCGGTAGGTAGGATCTGAAGTCGCGCTATGATCTCAACTGATCGCACAGCCAGACAAGGGACTCGAAGTGTTTGTATACACAATGGGAGCCTCACCAGGCGCGCGGAAGCGAAGTCTCTACAATGACTTTGGAAGTAACATGAGTTCTATCGCGGTGCTGCAGTGGTGACAAGTCAGTGATAGGTTGCACCCCGGTATATCCCCACGTCCAGTCCCCTGCGATATTTTTTTCAATTTTGACGGTCTTTTCGAAAGCACCGATAGTATCTACGTTATGCCAGCGATAGTTACACCAAACGCGCCTACCCCTCCGCTGAGATCAACAGTCCCCCAGGTGGCTCCATCAACTTCCATAGATCCCTGGTTAGTTAACTGACGTTAATAACTACTGCAAAGTTGACAAAATATGATTAAATTAATACTTAAAGCGGTCAGTTGTCGGTCAACATCCTATTAATGAACAGTTCCATGGACTCTCCCACTTTAATTATCTCCTCATCCCGGAGCCTTCCCGAACAATCCAGTAACTCATCCTCTTTTTCAGCCAGAGCTGCTTTCTGCTGCTCAATTTGTAACAGTGCACTACTAACACGTTGCTGTGATAGGACCTCACCCCGTTTCCATCGTGCGGCGTCATGCTCTAGTCTTGTGATCAGGTTACGTAATTCTGGAACTTTGACGCTGTGAGTCGAAGACGATGTACAGCAACATGCCGTATCTGCGATACTAAACTCACTACAGTTTGCGAAGAGGAAGTGGCAGACCCGTCGCCCATTTCTTTGTCTATCATCGCAAGCTTTCTTATCGAATGTGTGGGTTCTTTGGGTTCTTGCTCTCCGATGCTATATATGGTGTCATGTTAGCAATCGATCATTAACCCCTCCCTCCTGAGCGCTGTTGACCGAACACGAACCTTTGACTTAGTTCGTGGCTTTATTGGGAAACATGAGAACATTCTGCGCTTGGAGACTGGAGCGCAACGCGCAACCTCAGGGTCTATAGGCGGTGTATGTGGTGGAGACAAAGAGAAAAGAGTCCTGCTGCATCGACCAGGCTATGCCAGGCTGAGCAAGTCAGCCTGACGGTAGTTCAGAGAGCGAAGCTCCCATTGGCAGGTCCACCAGGTCAGTATCTGTGGCTATGATCAAAGGCTTCCAACTCAGGCTGCAACACCGGAGGACCCGTGGCGTATGGTACACAGTGCAGATTCGTGCAGTGTTGCCATTGGTTTGCGCGTGCATATCAGTCTGTGCTTTGCAGGACTGATGGTAAATATCATCTCATTGGTCAGAATTGCAGTTGAAAGCGCACGGTGAATGTGATTTCATTGCCTTACTGTGCATTAATCAGATACAGTATTGACCCACCATCACAGCGTGCACTGATTCATGCATATGACTGTGCGGAGACAGAGACACAGCTTTTGTTTCACTTGAGAATGAGGAAAGTGCTCGCGTCGGAGTGTGGGGTTAATCACGCTAGGACACGATACTGACCGCGCAAGTATATCCCGATCAGTTATTCACGGGTCATTGTACAGGCAGCATAGGATCAAATTTCCTCTGCAAAGTAATAGTAAGTCATCTGCGGGCGCACGGGCATATCGTGCAACAAGCTTCTACTTTCATGCTACCGCAATCGAGGGTTGTGTGCTGACAAACAGTGAGAGCCATATAACGTTGACGCATCATGGTTCCAAGATTACGTGATATCACCAAATCGATGGGCGGACTTCGTAAGTGTAGAAACTCGTCTGAGTAAATTGGACAGTGACTGACAGTACCCTGATTACCTACTAAGTATACGTATATATGTGGTTGTCCATGTTGATAGCAGGCGTCTGAAAGCTTATTATCGAATATGCCTACGGTGATGAGCGAAGAAGTTGATGCCTACTTTAAAAAGATGCTTGATTCCTCCCACTGTTCCCATGAAAGGTCAAGTCTATTACGTAACCGCAGAACCTATCAGTCCATCGTCGAGAAATTTGAAGAGAAAGGAAGGCATGATAACAAGTTGTTCCTTGAGTGTCACACTCAGTTTCTTTCGTACATGACCAGTGTTTAGGACGGTATGTTAAACAGGTCCCGAAAGAATTGTATGCTTATGTTGAGAACCAATTCGATAGAATAGATCATGACTTGTGCTGGGAGTGCGAATTTTACCTTGATCATTATTCAGATTTTGCCGAAGATTTCGACCGAGACGAAGAAATCGGAACTCTCGATACAGAGATAGACTACTACAATGACGACCAGTATTGCGATGCTGGAGAGCAGGACTGGGACCTTCACGAAAATGGGGGAGCTAAGGTGGACGAGGAAACGAAGCCGAGTGTGGAATACGCTGAAATATTGCGATCTGTGGCGATGTCAACGGATGCTACCTTGGGAACGTCGACGTAAGTTGGGAACAGCTCAGTCATCCTCTAGGCAATGGTCAACTCCGTCAGAGTCAGGATACGTTGAATGCTTTTGCCACCGTGCGTGCACAAGAAGTCAACGACTCCCTACAGACACTAGAATACCTAATCATTGTACAAAACTTAGAAATGAGCTTCGAAGTATAATAAGTTACTAGTTACACCTGTGTCCTATACTATTTCCTATGCAGAGCAAATTTGATCCTATGCTGCCTGTAACTACAATGATCTGTAAATAGTTAATCATATCCAATCCTTCATTTTGCTCCATTCTGCCTTAACTGGGTTCAGATTAGGCGAAAATACAGGCCAATAACTAACTAGTTATATGGGATATACCTTGCGCTCATTGAACTCCTCAATTGTCTCTTCTGCATGATGTGCAGGCGCGATATCCTGCATAAAGATAAGCCCCCTTACGTAGCTTTTTCCGACTATTTGGATTACTTACCAACCTCCCTCCAGTGCTGGAGTAGCTTAATAGGTGGACTTTCAACACTAACGTTAGTCGTACCAATAACTATCTCTTAATCCCAAGCCTCTATATCATCAGCTTTAGTTAATTTGGTAGTGTACCATCTGACCAAAAGGTACATAACAATAACCACCTCTGTAAGTACAGACAGCCTCCTCTGTACAACGCCAGCGGTTATTAATTGACCCTACGTGGTCATGTGCAGTCCGGATAGCCTAAACTTAGGCTACACGACGCTCTGCCTTCTCCACTACCCTCATTATCTTGCGACCTTCAACTGTCTATTGCTTTGTTCGATTGCCAGCTGAGGACTCAAGCGCGGTCAAGATCTCTAGCTTGTCAGAGGATGGCTCGTTAGCGTACTAACTGCGCGAGAACGCCCTCCCAGTTAAGTTGCACTCTAGCTTCTCTTAGAGAGGCTGACGACATGCCTATCAACATTGTCCAAAAAGGATATGCTAACGTCGTCACCAAAGTCTTCAATCATCTCATATAGGATAGTGACGTGCAGCGTATTGTAGAGTTAGTCTCTACCTTTAATTCCAGAAGCCTTGCTGCTCCTCATCTCCTCCACTTTATGGTCAAACGCTGACAGCCATAGGTCCTCTCGACTGTAGGTTTTCTCGCTTTGGTCAATAAATTTCGAGTTGAATGTTAGGTTCATCAATTGCCGCTGCTCTATAGCTATTATGAAAGGCAGATGAAGATAAGTTTGTTCTAGAATTATATAACAAAGTATACCGTACCTTAAAGAAGGACTATTTAAATAACTAGACACTATTCATCGCAAAATCCTTTTCTTCCCAGCTGACCTCGAGAGGAATACAAGCCTCTCATATCTCAGCTGAACCTCTCAGACATTTGGATCTGTACACTTGTCTAGTTTCAAAAGCATCTCGCGATCCGTAGACGTGTATCTCGGATATGTATACTCATAAGGGCACTAGAAGGAAGTATCGGCGCAACTAATGTGATGAGATCTGTATCACCAGCGGTGCCCGCGTCAGGAGATACATCGCGAGTGACATCTCGAATCTATACTACCGCGTACTGGTCAACATAACGTACCTTTCTACTAACAACAACAACAGCGAGGATGCAGATACATTGCGAGGTGTTAATCAAAATGGTCAATCTGTCACCAGACAGGCATTCATAGTAAAGCATTTCGCCAGATGGCAGTGCAACGGAGATTTGACCCAACAATTTCAGTGAAGGTGTGAGCGTACGTTCGGACGATTCACGAGGCTTTATACGCTGGTTTCCACACCTTGTAATTTTTATTAACCATGTCATTACTGCGACCCGTGAGCTTGAGTAATATACGCAGTTAATTGATTGGGTCGAAGCTCCGCCATATCTGGGTCGCGGCAACCTTCTCCAGCGCTGCCAACGAATTAGGGTTAGGGTTAACTTAGGGGTTATCTCGTTTGGCAGACGGTCCCCGTGAAGCTGCGCATCCGACATCAAAAGCTAAGCATAAGCAAAATGGGATGTGACCCATGGGTATGACAGCGCTTATTGCTTATAAATATCATTTCTCACACTGGGAATAGCGCGCCAAGACTGCTTATGCTGAGTTGCGCTTTCCGACGCTACTTTGACAGATGCTAGCCGGTTTTCGGCAACCCCGTGACGTGTCTTGCTGACCCTAGGTACAAGATCCAATCTGCTGAGGGTCCGCGGAACCTTGCGCTCGTTTACTTACGCGCTATCGTGCTATCTACCACGTTTGCGGATCACCGCACTGCTTACCGTACCGCAGTATAGACCGCAACAGTAAAGTCTGCGCTTCTACGATGCCGACGCCCGACGAGGTTGCATTCCACGTTGCTGCATATTTCACGCTCAGCCTGACATTATCGCAGTAAGCGCATCTTCGCCGCTGGTGGTCGGAGGTTCAGTTGCCGGGAGCTGTGAAGCCTTCCCAGGCCTCGTTCATACTCATGAGCCAGCCTCGCTATCGGCGCGTCTCCGCCTCGGCCCTAGAAGTGCATAAACCCCAACGGCGCCGACAAACATGGCGCCGGCCAGCGACGCGTACATGGCCAGCAAGTAAGGGTCCCTGTACGTTGGGGTTAAAGCGAGGCCGAGCGCAGAGCCAGCTGCGGCGGTGAGGGCGAAGAAAGCCTGCAGCACAGCCTTCATGCTGTGAGGCGCCTCGGTGAAGGCATACTCGTACATGGCCGGGTTTGAGAAGATCTCGCCGAGGCCCTCGAAGACGTATATGGGGATCTGCATGGCGACACTGACGCGGTTGGGCAGGCTGCCGTCTGGCGACGCTGGGCACGCGCGCGGATGGTCGTAGCACGGGCCTGACGCGTAGATGTAGCCCTGCACGCCCGCCGCGAAGCCCATGGCCATGGCCTCGAGCAGGAAGCCGAGCGCGATGCGCGTCACCGGCGGGAAGCTGATGCGCAGCCTGCGCAGCAGCGGGTACAGGCCGTGCGTTGCCAGTGGGAGGCATAGTAGGACGGTAATGGCGTTCAGGTCGGGCATCAAGTCGTTGGGGACGCCGCTTGTCTCCATGTTGGCTGCTTGGGAGATTGTATTGCTGGTGAGTTGGTTCTGGCAGAGCCAGTAGACGACGAATGGGACGCTATTGGGAGTCAGATATGGGTGCGTCTCTGGAGGGGTGATCAAGGACGACCACTCACCCAATGCGCGCGGCGACTAACGCCTTTTTCATCTCCTCGATGAAGCTGTCACGCCACTTTACTGTCTTGCCAGTATCATCGGCCACCTTTTCAGGTCTGGCGGCGTCTAGTCGGAACCCATTTCTGACGGCAATGTAGATGACTTTCCACGCCGATGGGAGAACGCTGCCGTCTGGAGGAAGATTGACTGTTGAAGTGTGTTAAGACTCCGTCTCGCGACACTTGACGGACTGATTTAAGAGGTCTCACCATAATGCTTTCGGCCCAGGTAGAGCAGAGTGAGGCCAAGGAAGATGGCGCACGTGCATATCAGAAACGCGACCCAGAAACCGATGTTCTTTTCGAGCAAGGTTGATGCAACAATGGCTTGGCCACCGATATTCACACACCTTTTTGTGTCAGACCCGACCGTGGTTCAACAAAATTGTGAATTCTTACCAATAGTAGACGTTGAAAGCATACTCGACGGTCGCCTCACGGTCAACAATGACTCGCTCTCCTGTCTTGGAGATCCTGATTCTAGTCTTGGACGCATGGCATTGCTCCGCTAAGTGTCGCCATGGTTTAGCAGCTGCAACGAGATTGTGCGACAAGCGGGTGTAGCGGTTCGACTGACCTAGGAATGGCGGCAACGTGGACTTGACACCTCCGACACCAAGACTGATGATAATTAGGGCGACAATAAGACCGGGAATCCCGGAGCCTTGCCTTAGCAAGGGCGGGAGAGACGTTATTAGAAGAATGGTAAGTCCGACGGCGTACATGCTGCAAACAAGTAAGTTGGTGTATTGCGCAGAGGCTGCACGAGAGTTGAAACTAACCAGAAACAGGTGCGAAGGGTCTTGTAGTGACCAAGATATGAATCTGCAATGGCTGCCGTCGCGAGAGGCGTGACTTGGCTAACGAGAGTGAAACAGTTGATCATCAAGGAGGCAATGTCCTGGCCGAGTCCCAGGGCGCCAGGGCGCAACGGGTCGTCTCTGCGATTTTGAATGTAGTTCTCTGCCCTTGGGTCAGTGGCTAGTTGCGTTCTTGAACGAGTCGTGATGCTCACGGAGAATGCCCAAGAAGCCATAGTAGGCATAGCGCTCGCATAGAGAGACGACGGCCACAAGGATAGCCATTTTTGGCAGCTTATCTGCCTCTCGTCGACATGTCCTCAGATCTTCTTCGGTCGGTTCCTCGAAATGATTGGTCTCAGCATTAAGATGCTGAGAGCAGGCTGTGGGAATCGACGCAGAATTTTCATTCTTGGAGGGTCTGTAATGTCAGTGTCTTATATTTTGCGCCAAAAACGTGAGACTCACAAATTCTTCTCCTCGGGCGTGTCCATGATCGATGGCGGATGCGGCTCAAAGGAACATGCAGATAGCTATCATCCCAGGAACGTGGGAGAAGTGACAGGTCGAGTCATTTATAGGAGACGACAGAGCATATGGCTCCGAACTAAGCATTCGACACCGATAGCGCCCATCCATCTACCCAATGCTTGTGGTCATCCAGTTCGAGCGTCGGATACGGTATGCCGAATGGAGTAAGATCTGACCCTCTTTTTCGGAGTAGACGCTCAATTCGGTCAACTTACTCCGATGATGCGCCCCTGTAAGTCTTTGCCCCGTCGGCAGCTCCACTACCTAAAATGCATTAGCCACTGCTTTTTATTCGCCATTATGACACGTGCTATAGGGCTTTGATCATGTCAGCTTTAAGGGAATGTACATCATCGGTTGCAAGTCCGCCGAGCAAACTTTCTCTGGTTTCAATTCATCTACTATGCACTGGAGTACTAGCTACGCCCGGAATGGTGTTATGGGAAGTCTAATTTCTCTCCGCATCTCCTTTGCCGCAGCAAGAATATGTTTGCGGCCCTTGTCAGATGACACAAGCAAATGACCAACGAGGTTGGGTGCTGTTGCAATGGGATTGGTATAGTGGTAGTAGGAGCCACCTTGGTAGACCATGGCGCCGAGATCAGGGCGCCGCCTCTTCAGATCAACAGCAAAGCACTCGCCGTTGTAAGTTCCTGGAAACTCGGTGTTGATGAAGACGATTGCGCTAATGGGTTGAGCCTCGGGCGCGTACTCGTGCGCCAGCGCAGTAAAGCGCACGGTATCTTTCAGAGCTGCGAGCAGTTGCAAAGCAGTCCAGTCCACCCCGCTCTTGAATGCCGTGATATACTGAGCCATGATGCCAGGCGCGCGCTGGTTGATTTCGAGCAGTGTGGCGGTTGGAGCCTTAGTCAACCGCTTGCCATGAGGCCGCAGGTCCACGCCATTGGCCGAGGTATAAGCCATTGAAGAGTTGGTGATTCGGGCCTCGAGATGGAAGACGCCGGTGTGGAATCCGAGCTTGACAAGAATACTCCTCAGCTCGTCTCTGATGATGTCTGACTCGTTGGGTGGCAGGTTTGAAGGATAGAGCATCTCAGTCTCCAAGAAATTCTCTTGGCCGGGGAGATCGTCTCGTTCCGATGTGCAGGGAAAGTCGTCGACCAGCTCGTAGAAGAGAATCTTTCCGTCTTGCAGCACAAAATTGGCGTCGACCTCGGGGCCGTCGAGATATGTCTCAATGACAATGTGAGTGCCGTGTTTTGCAGGCTCGAGAGCAGCGACGGCAGCAAACAGCTCTGCCTCGTTGGTGACCTTGGAGACACCCTCCGAGGCCCAGCCCTGGCTGGGCTTGACAATGAGCGGGTATGCTGTGACCAGACCGTCTGACATGGATTGGCGAAGTTCTGCGGAGCTGTCGACTTGGAAAGAGTTGCAGTCTCCGGGGAACAGAGATCGAGTCTTGTACTTGTCGACGGCGGTTTCCACGGCCGACAAGGGCGCTGTGGGCAGTTTGAGACGAATTGCAGCCCTTGCAACGTCGACGAAATAGGTGTCGGTGAAGGTGGTGATGCCGTCGTAGGCGGTGCCATCTTTGATGAGGGCGTCGGCAATGCGATCAGCCAAGCCGCCGTCCAGCTCCATGTCGATATCGATATACTTTTCCACAGACTGGCAAAAGCCCTGGTGCTGCAGCCATCGGCCATGCTGTCCAACGATGGTGATGTGGATGCCGAGGTTGAAGGCTGCTGTTAGCCACTTCTCCATGATGACTTCAGGCCTGCAGCCGACGAGGACCAGCCGTTTCGGAGTCCATGGAGCAGGGCCTGGTAGTTGTTAGCATTACAACGGAAATGCTGGGCGAGATGCGAGGTAGCTGACAGATCCATGGGAAAGAAAGCCTGGCCTGCAGCTCTTGGTTCACGCTTGGCGAGCTTTGGATATGCTGCTGTTCTAGAATGGCACCAGCGGCGTAGCTGAGGATACTGAGCAGGTCTGTGCTTGCACCTTGGCTCTCTTGAAAGGCAGTCATATGCTGATCGAGGGAGACAAACTCCTCGACTCGTTCAATGGACTTGCTGATAGCCAGGCGCTGGCGGAGTATGTCTGCACGCACAATGCATCCGTCTTGGGCGGGTAAGATTATTTGTACAGTGGCCGCATGCCTGCCGCCGCTGCCCACGCAAACGAGGCGTGCAGCCCAATCGAGAAAGTCGAGCGCAGAAGAACACTGAGAGTTCAAGCCAGGCGGAAGTTCAGCAATTTGAATAGTCTGGCCGTGAAAAGAGTCGTCGGTCTTGGGGGGGAGGCTCATGTGCACCCGGAGCACGTGATAGTAGGCGGGCTGAGGTGAATGCGCCGTCTCCAATGCCCACTCGCACACGACGTTGCCTGTGCCAGTCAGCAGCTACCGGCGTTAAAGATGCTGCTCCCCTTACCCTCGCGACTGGCCAGCAGGATGTTCTGGGAAGGTGGTGGCATTTTGGTGGTGTCTTGTGCTGGCCGGAGAGGCGCAGACACAGATGCACTTTCCTGGAACATGTTGTCGGCGATAAGGGTCAAGAGGCGGTGCAAGACCGAATTGCATATGTCGCAAGTGGACAGCTGAAGCACGTACGTACTGTACTTAACGCGCAACGCGCGGCAGCCCCATTGGGACGAGCATGTCGGAGTGCGGATGTCAATTGGGCAGGTGGAGAAGAGCGACTTTGGCAGCTAATTCTCATGGCGTCACTGCCCCGATTTCAAGATCGTTGGCGTAGACCTTACTATAGTCTCCGCTTCGAAGTCCAATCAATTGCGAGCGTTTCTAGCGTGTTTCCAGATTACCTACATGAGTGGCAAAGTTAAGGTGAAGGCTCGAGAGAGGCAAGCGTCACGAATCGCCGCTTCGCCTACGGACGCCTAACGTCGATCCCTACCTCATATTCCGAAACGCCCGGTGTGGCGAACATGTTCGCGTTGCTTAAACACGACTGCGAAGTTCTTTAGAGTACTGTAGAAGGATTCCTCATCCTGACAGCGCACTGCGATGCTCGGCCGGCTACAGGGTGCCTTTCGTAACATAAGGATGGACGATCCTCGAGTGCGGCCTGAGCACGAATGAGCCGGACGTCCAACATAAATAAGAGCTTGTTGTTCTTTCCCGCTTATGCAACTACCTACAGTCCGTCTTTTCTCAGCCGCTCTGTGAATCCTGCCAACACCATATTTACGCAAACGAGCACCACGCGCCGCCATGTCACCTACTCGGCTCACGCGCCAACCCTGCAGGTTGGCCCTGCGCAGCCTAACGCAGATTCGCGGCTCAACGTAACTTTGAGATCTCTACTCAGCTTCTTTATTATAGTTTTCACCCACAACTATGCATAAACATTATGGCGAGAGCTACGAAATCGAGCAGCGTATCTCCGCTTGCATATCTAATTTTCCTAATTCAAAATACCTAATATTGCGGCGGCAGCTATTGAATAGAGTGTGCCAGTTTCGCGACTTCGAGCGCGCGCCAAAGGCAGAATGAGCCGCCACGACTGCCCTGGTACAAATCTACGACTATCTCAGGTGCAGGACGAAGATCTGAAGTCATATATACGGCGATGCGACGATATAGGGATGCCCTGCCTGATGCTGCAGTTAATAGGCGCTGCCCAGTACATCATTGATCGCGCGCATCCTAACGGCAGAGCTCCCCCACTCAGCAAGGACTGGCTGTCACGGTGGTTAGAACGCAATCCTGATTGCCGCCGTATGAAGCAGAAGTCGCAGAATATCAATTGGACAGCTATGGCGACGTTTGAAGTCTATTCTCACTATTTCACCGAGCTCAAGAAGGTGATCTATACCCACGGCATCACCACATACGACACATACAACATGGATGAGACCGGCTTCCGCATAGGCGTCGGTGGCAGCCAGTGGATCGTTACTATGGAGATGAATCGCCCTCAGGTCTCTGCGTCAGAGACTTCGCGCGACTATATCACCTCTATAGAAGCGATCTCTGGTGATGGCCAGGTTCTTAATCCTATGCTCGTTGTGCAAGGCGTTAACCATCTACACCAATAGTACACCAACACCACGCTGCCCGATAGTTATATGATTGCCACGTCAACTTCGAGGTATTCAAATGATACTATATCAATTGAGTGGCTAACCTTACCATGGAGTTTATCGAGTACTGCGACATAAACAACATAATCCCTTTCTCACCACCACCACACACATCTCATCATCTACAGCCTCTTAATGTTGTCTGTTTTCCGCCATTAAAGCAGAATCACAAGAAAGCTGTAGAGATGGCTACACGTACTAGGTGCACAGGTTTCAACAAGATCGAGTTTCTAGACGCCTTTCACAGTATTAGGACGGAGAGCTTTAAGCGCAGTGCTATACTCAGCGCCTGGGAGAAATCAGGTATATTTCCATTTAATCCAGAGATCGTCTATATGCGGTTACCCACGCCAGCGCGTACGCCGTCACCATCAGTAATATCTACAGTGAACTCATCACCTATCGCCAATACGCCTAGGTCCTATTAGCAGCAGCACAAAAAGATGTCGCGCGCTCCACGGAGGACTAACATATCAAGTCGGAGGCTCGAAAAATTCCTTCAGAGCTCGCAGTTGCTGATCGATAGTTTGGCGCTGGCCCAGCGAGACCTCAAGGATATTACTGTTAAGGCAGCGCGACAAGCTATCGATCAACGTGTAGAGCTTGAGGCTCCAAAGGTCGCCCGCAAGGCGGCGAAAATCTACAAGGATGAGCACTCACGGGCGGCACAGAATCAGGCCAGACAGATGCCATCTCTCCGAGAGATGACAGTAGATCCTGCCCTACTTGCGACACCAAATCCTGTATATATCAGCCCATATATTTAATATCTACGCCGTTGAAATCCCCGTTGAATTTTCGACTGTCTATAGAAAGTTACGTTGGGCTACGAAGTTGCGTTGAGCTGCGCAGGGCCAAGACGGTTGTCTTGGCGCGTTGGGCGAGTAATCTTTTCCTCCTTCTCGCTTCCACCCGTCTCGCCGACTACGTACACATGGCATCCAGTCTTGCCTCACCACTTAGTCTGCGAGGCCATCTGCTCGCGGTCCAGCCTGCGGCAAACACTCGTGGCCCAGCTTTCCAATGTTGCGTCGCAACGGCACCCGCAGCTCGTGCGAGCCCTGTCGAAAGGCAAAGGTGAAATGCGACCATCACTCCCCATTCTGCCAAAGATGCGAAGCGCGCGGCATCAGCGCCTCATGCGTCTACCACCCGGCTCCCTTGACGCGCTCGCCTGCACCCGACGTCCGGCGGACTCACAAGCTGTCCACGCAGCAATATCAAACTTGCTTCGGAGTCCTGGATCTGTCCGGTGACAGGCTGAGCGAGCCGACACTTCCCAGCACTCAAGCCTCATTCACCGCACCCCTGGCCCCACCAGCCAAGATGCAGATCTACACTAATGCTGCTTCCAACGCCATACACTCGCGCCCTCCCTCATCCTTCGGTGGTAGTGACGTAGAGCTCAACGCGCAGAGTGCTCCAAAGGCTGCCGGCTCTGGCTACTATGGCTCAACCAGCTACTACTCTGTCTTTGACCGAGTCGATCACGTCCCGACCGCTACCACAGATTCTCAGCCTTCTGGACCTGCTGGCGACACGCTCTCTGCCGGTATACGCGACGACGACCCCGGCGTGAGCCGGTCACTTCAACTTGGATCCTGGATACTCCAAAACCTCCAACACGTCTCGATCATCCAGTCTCTCGTCGACATGTACATTCGAACAAGCCAAGTATCCCCTACGGCGACTTTAATCCCTCTGAAAGCTGTGGAGACCCTGCAGCACCTGGCCAGTGGAGACGTGCATGCTCTGGCGCAAAAGACCACCAGAAATACGCAAAAGCCGCTACAAGTACCTCCTGAAATGCACGCAAGCACCTTTAGCACACTCTTCACCGGCGACAACCTGCGCTGGGAGTTTCTTGGTCTCGTCTTTGCCTGGGCCGGCTTGGCTCTGTCCATGTCTCTGCTGAATGAAAAAGGCTCTGCGACGACGCCAGACGGAATCAGCAAAACCTCCTTTGCCCAGCTCTTAACCGCTTGCAGTGACGCGTGCATAACCCTCTGCCGCCAAAATGCCCACACCAACGACATACTCTCCTGGTGTCTCTATGAGAACCTCATTCTACTAACCTTTCAGCACGGCGAAGCAAGTGAGCATTAGCCCTAACAACCCATTTGTATCAATTTAGCTTCTAACAGAGAGGCAGGCCACGCATCTTGGCAGCGACTTGGAGACCTCTCCACCGACATTCTGGCCCTCGGCCTGCACAAGGAACCCGCGGCGACGAGCACCTCGCCTATTTTCCTCGTCCAGGCTCGAAAGAAGCTATTTTCCGCCGCCTTTCGTGTCGACAAGAGCATCTCCACCTTCTTTGGCCGGCCGCCCCGGATACCGGGTCACTACTGCGACGTCGGTCTTCCTCTAGACGTCGACGACAACCTCTTCCATCAAGAAAACTTTTGTGTAGACCACCTTCGCTCCGTACTCAACACGGCCGGATGGAACATCGACTGCAAGATCCGCCCAGCTTCTTGGATTCGCATGCGCCATACCGTTGGCAAAGTCACAGAGGAGATTTTGGAGCTGTCTCTGGGCGGCGCGCAAGACAATTTGGTTTACAAAGTACAGTGAGTTCCTTCCAACCCGACTTTGCCACTTGTAGGCGTTTGCTGAATCGTGTCAGGGACATATTGACTCGCTGCAATGAGACGTGGAACCGGATCCCGAGCCATCTGCAGTACAAACACAGCTGCTGGAACGATGGTACCCCACCAGGAACATGTTTGATGCTGCTGCTTGTCTACCTGGAACATCTGCAAAACGAATTCCAGCTGCAGAGATTGCTCTGCCGCCAACAAAGATGCGCCTCGGACGCGCTGATCAATATTAGCATGCGCATGCTCACAGCTGCAATGATTCTCCCCGGCATTCAAGTCGACAGCGTCAACATACATCGCGATCGTGCATGGATTGTAAGCAGTCTTCCTCGTACCTTCTTGCCAATGTCACTGACACGTATAGCTCTTGTACTATGCGCTCCCGAGCGCCGGCGTCCTTGCCATCGACCTTCGCATGCGCATGCAGCAGGGTTCTAACCCTCCACGCTCAATATCGAAGTCTGAAGTCATCAGACACACGAGCGTGCTCGCCGCATCGCTGCAATGGGCGTCGGAGCCGTCTGGCGGCAACCACAACCTGTGCGCCGGGGCGGCAAAGACGCTATCGCGCATTTTGGACGAGATTCTCGACAGCTCCGGCCAGAGGAGCGAGATGAGCACGAGCGGCGACGTGGGCGGCACCATGAGCGGTACCGTGAGCGGCAACATGTCGCCCATGGCAATGGACATGGACTACAGCATGCTGGTAGAGCACGACGTCGACTCGGAAACCTTCTTGAACTGGTTCGATAACTTGGAGTGGGAGACGATGCACCAGCCCGTGCCGCTTCAAGTGTAGATTGCGCTGATCTACAGTGGTACGCATCTCATGACCATCTCCTTTATGACCATATCTCAAAAGTACATCACAACTATATTGTGACTAACGTGTGACACCACCGAACCGCACACACCACCGAAACGCCCACTTCCACCAAGACCACCTCTCATTACACCTTCCATCTCAATGTCTCAACAACCTGATCTTGAATTGCTCCCTTGTGAGGATAGGATAATCCTAGCTATCCAAGCAATGAAATCAAACGCGACTTTAAGCGATCGACGGGCTGCTGCTATCTATAGCGTTCCCCAAAGGACCCTACGTGACCGACGCGCCAAAACTACCTCACGACGCGATTCCTATTCCAACTTATCCCGTCTTACTAGGGTTAAAGAGGAGATAATTATATAATCTATAAAGAAGCTTAATACGTAAGGCTTTGCCCCTACGCTTAGCTATATAACGTACCTGGCAAGCGAGTGGCGCAGGCAAGCGAGCGGCACTGTAACGGGAGTCGCTTGGCTTTGGGCTAAGCTTATCCTCGAAGGGGTCAGGGTGAGAAATGAGGGCTTCAGGAAGCGGTATGGTCGCGTTGGGTTAATGCGTTAATTAACTA